GTTTCTGTCCTCATGATTGACTGCACTTATTTTTGGATCACAGCGTAAGCTAAATTAAATGTAATTTGATTTAATACATCATGTTAAAATGCCACAGTTTACCTTTTTCTATAGTCAACAAGCAGAGAGGGCTAACCAAGGTTCATTGTTGAAAGCAGTGCCAGCATACTGGTGAAGGGGAACATTCATGACATTACAAGTCCTGGCAAGTTGATTTGTAGTCAGGCAAAACTATGCAAAACTAGGCATGCCTGGATTTCCTTTCTGTTCCTTTTTAAACATAAGTGTCATGCTCTGTGTCTCCTTTGAGCCTCTTTACTTATGAGTAGAAGGGAAATGTACCTTGTGATTTAGTGTATTTGTAGCTTAGGTTTGTGCTGCACTTCAGGTTTCCAAGGCTGGTCTGAAATCAGTTTATTTGTCGCTCAGGTTTGTACTTCAGGTTTTCAAAGTTGGTCTGTTCTGAGCTGTGCATCTGTATGCGTGTGCGCAGCCATGCGATATCATGCTCTGGTGTTTTTGATTGGCAGGCGGTCGGATGGCTGGAATGAGCTGCATGGCCTGCAATGTGTTCTCAGCTCCACATGCTAGGTGCCAGTGGTGAGGAGCCGCTTAATCTACTGCTTGTAGTCACATTTCCACACAAAGACTGGCAGGCAGAGCCACAGTACAGAAACGACACACATGCGCGTTTCCTCACACGGACAGAGAGGCAGCAGGGAATGCAATATTCATTCTGTTCTTGCGTGGGTAAAGCTAAAGTGAGAGACATTGGAGCAAACACACATAGACGTATACAGTCAGCGGAGCGATATGTGCACTTAACATCTGCATGCATAGCACCACAGTAAATGTAGGTCACATAAAAAGGCATATGTGGGGGAAGGAGAGAAGGTGAGAAGTGGAAGTGAAGGGCGGAGGAAGCCTTTCATTATGTCCTCATGCTAAGGCAGAGGCAGGATGAGGGCTAGCATGATATATAGGAAGAGTTTTACCCCTGAGTTATGAGCTTTTTCCTTTGGAAGTGAAAAGTAATAATTATTCCATCCATCAGGGAAAGCAAATGTTCTATAAACAAACATACAATATATCCTCAGCCTTGTCTGGCTCTCCTCTCCTGAAACTATTGCAAACACAGAAACAAGTGAAACCCAGGGGACGTTGGATATAACAGTTACACCTGATTGTTTTCCACAACAAGACAGTTCTTTAGCTTTGGCAGCGTCCTGTCTTCAGTTGCTCATTTATATAGGCTTAGGTAGCCGTTCAGTCTACAGGCTATTCTTAACAGCTGCACTTTAGGGTTTTAAGATGTGATGAAGTGCAGCGGAGAGCTCGGACGCTGGCAGTATAATTACACAGGGAGAAGTCTGATGTCCTAGTCGGTAATAACCTCATTGCCTCCTGAGGCTAAAGCACGGTGGACCTGTAGCAGGGGGTTCATTAAGTGAGGAGAGAGAGAGCATTTATACTGTGCATACGCTTTTCTCTGTAACTCGATTTTCTCCCTTCAGTTTAGGACTTCAATTGGCTTCTGATGTCCTGGTTTGAATCTGTCTTTACTCGTGTCTGCAGTGTCTAATTGGTTCTTCTCTGATCTGAACCACACATATTTTAATCTTTACATGACAAGAGAAGGGGTGGCCTTACATTGGCTGAGAAGGTTCATATTATCACAGTGCAGTTGTCATAGAATGAGATAGGATAGGATGGGGTAAGGAATAATGTGCATCGAGGCGGTCATTAATGAAAAAAAACAACCAACAGGGTGACCAGGACCCCGACGCTAAGCACACAATTCCGTTTATACACAGCCACAGACTAAATAAACCAAAGACTTGACTTGAACAAATATTTGATTAATTTAAAAATCCTATTTCTTCTGCTAAGATTAAAAAAAGTGTGTTTCACAGCGTACCAACGGCTAGCACTGGGGCAACACATGACTTCAAATGAATCAGCCCTGATCAAGTTTTAAGTAACTCTCCAACTTTCTTCATGATTTTTGGTAAGATCAAGTTGAGATTTTTCTTGCATAACAGCACCTCTATTTGCAACATACACAAAGGCAACTATTAAGATAAGATGCAAGGATAGCAGACATTTAAAAAAAAAACATTACATCGCTGAAGAGACATATGTTTAAGACCCTTTGAATTTGACCTGGGATTTAATTTTAGGATTGACTAGTGCACCAAAATACTTCAGTGTAACCTTATAACATCATGGGGCCCTGTATATCCAATATGTATAGATTTAAATAGTACAAAATGTATACCCGTATAAGTGCTTCTGCATAACTTTAACAATTTCCATTTGTAGAATTAAATGGCAGACAAACCTTTCTTTTATCTGATGCAGCGGAGATGAGTCTGTATGATGGGACTTTGCTCTGTGTAAGCAGAGTGTTGATCACATGGTTAATTTACATTGGTGTGATCTCTGTCTCGTACATAGCAGCTGCAAAGGTGAGATTAAACACTTGTTCGCTGCTTCAGAAGCTTACACCTTTTCATCTGACTTGGGAATTAATTCATATTTGTATTCTGTGCATATAATAGCTCAAAAGACTCCCTGAGTGAGTGAAGTTTAAGTATATATAATTTGTGGAAGTGGAATTTTAAGAAGTCCTTTTTATTAACTGGATTATGTAAACTCTGCAGGATTTGAACAGAATGTATAAACTGTCGTGTCTTCACTTCTTCAACTCCAGAGTCAAAGTTTGGTATACTTGAAACTAACAGTCTCACACTGCCTCCCTAAAAAGAAGCCCAGCTGTTGAGAAATAAACAACTTTGTTATTATTTGTGTCAAATGATCGTGAGGTAGAAGAAATACTGCATGATTGTTGCAAAGTCATCCATCAGGAGTGTGTGTTCTCATTAATTTAATTTCAAATGCAGCACTTTTATGAATAACATCCAGTTGTGTAGAAGAAGTTGAGTCTAGTTGGCCGTTGCCTTTTTTATAATGCATAACTTTAAGCTTTAATTTCATTTAAATGGATAACTAACATAACAAAGTCACCCCCTTTGCTGTTGTTCTGAATGGAAAGATTAGTTATAGAGACAAAAACTGTGTCTTTCAGTCTGTAAATATGTTTCTTTCTGCCGTCAAGTTGGGATTTTTAAAGGGGCCATATTATTCTAATTTTCAGGTTCATATTTTTTTTATTTTGGGCCTCTATTGTGACATGTTTCCATGCTTAAATCTTCAAAATGGTCTTTATTTTTCTCATGCTTCCTGTGCTGCAGTGCCTCTTTTCACCCTCTGTCTGAAACCAGAGCCCAGTCTGCTCTGATTGGTTTGCTGGCCGGCTCTGTTGTGATTGGTCAACCACTTAAAGATGTCCCGCACCTTAGCCTATCACTTACATTTAGTTGGAGCGCTAGCCAGTATAAAACGTGAGTCCTGCATAGTAAAGTCACCATGTCACTGTAGGAAACAAAGGAGTCCAATGGAGGCGTTTCAGGCGGTTGTGTGTCTGTGAACATTGACTCCCTTTTGGAGCCAGCCTCAAGTGGCCATTTGAGGAAATGCTGTTTTTGGCCCTTCAGTATAGGCTTGACGCTTTAGTCAAGTGTTAACCCCAAAAAATATAATTCCTAAATAATTCTGGGCCCCAGTAGTAAAAGTGCACACACAAACACCCAGCACCCATTTCTATTTTGAACTACAGCCCGTTTCTAAAAGTGGCTCCCTCCTGTAATACCTTACTGCGAAAATGTGTTTTTCTCACTTTTCCTACATGGAGCTCAAACTGCATTTGCATTTATTCATGTTCTGCTCACATCGTCCTGGGAGACCTGGTCTGAATATCAGACGAGTTCACAAATGAATTCAGGAATTTAAAACGTCTCTTGACCCCTCGGCTCACGCTGATGTCTGTTTGTCCACAAATTCTTAGCGGACCTCGTGCTGTTGCTTTCTTTTTACCCTCAAAGTGATGAAAAGTGCTTAAATTGCAGCGAGGTGAATGTTATAGTAAAACGGCTTTATTTTCCTAAGATGTAGAACAACTCCACTCTTGTGGGTTCAATATTTGATGAGGTACAAGCCCTTTTTTGTCTGTGTTTTATTTGAGAGAATGTGCACACTTGCATCCCATTGCCATGCAGTGTGCAGAAGAGAAGAGGACAGCCTGTTCTCTAGCAGAGCTGAAAACCTGTCATCTTCCTTGTTAGGCTTGTTTATTTTTGACAAACTTCTGAATGCAGAATGTATAAAAACAAATATATGACATGTATAAATGATACAGCTATTTTTATGCACTTGGACATATAATCAAACACAATGAAACACAAAAGCTTATATTTATTTTGGTCCCCTGGGTGTTTGTATATGAGCACAATTTATATACAGGAAATCTAGGTGTATGCTTATGTGCATTTAGATGGGAGTGGGAGCAGCAGTAAAATACATATTCAGTACACCAGTTCAATAACAATACATATTTAAAAACTGGAAAGCACTTTGGTAAACTGGGGTTGTTTTTAAATATGCTATATAAATAAACTTGACTTGACTTAATACTAGGCCCAGACACGCTAACAGACATGTTATGCACATACTGTTATTAATTTCACAAGGCTCAGGACCCAAACGCACGACACCAGAAACAGGTCAGGATTAACAAGGTATTTAATAAAAGGCAAAAACACAAAACGCTCACTAGGAGGATCAAAACTGAGAAACTATAAGATCCAAAAACTCTAAACAAAACATCTACATGGACGATCAAGAATGAAACAAAAGGAGTCTATAAAAAATGGACGAACTGGCACAGGAAGGCAAGGCAAGGCAAGGCAAGGCAAGGCAAGGCAAGGCAAGGCAAGGCAAGGCAAGGCAAGGCAAGGCAAGGCATAAATGTCTTGACACCACAAATACCCAGCTCCCTCCTTACCCAGAAGGCATACAGTTGGGTGACTCTTCTTAATTAGAACCACCCTCTTTTATTAACAATGTCACGGCTGTCTTTGTGTAAAGTGCAGAGTCGTCCAGTCATCCAGTGGAAAGAATCTCTCCTTCGTGCCAGGTGCTCCGTTCACTGGGGAATTTTTTCAGCTGATCATCTCTCTGTTTGGACGGCTTTCGTTATGTGAGTAAGAGATGCTGCATTACAGTATATAGAATTTTAGGTTTTACACAATTTTGTAATACAACTGAACTACAGAGCTTTATTTATTGTAGGAGCATTGAAACAAACCATTGCTAATTTGAAAGTTAAAGGCTTATTATTCAGCCTACACATATTGTCTATGTGTAAAGCTTTTCTCAATACATGAATGCACTGTATACATAAAAAAGCACCAAATGCTTCATTATTATTAATATTCCTATCTTTCAAATCACTTTTGACATGAACTATGGGTAATGCTGCTCTAAGCAAAGTGTGTAGTGCTCTCCCCAGTCAGACTGTCCGTCTGAGGCCCCTTGCAAACTTGATGATTTGTGGATTAGGACGGCCCATGGCCACTCATTGACTCTCCGGGCACGCGTCCATGTAGTCCACAAGTCTGCAGGCCTGACATTTGGGTTCCGCCTTTGTGGCACCATTTATCTCCTGTTTTTATCCGGCTGTCGGTTGAGAAGAGATCACTGTTAGGTTTGTCATAGAGGTTGACAAAGGCCTGCAGGGCATCATTAATCTCAAGGAACACATCAAACACGTCACTAACAGAGGACGTTATGGAAAGTCGCGCTCCAGAGAAACCTCCCGTTTACCAGCTGAACAAACACTGTATATGCTCTCCAGCCCTGCTCTATGAATGGAAAGTCCGTGCTGGCAGGTTGCTTTTGAATCAGCAGCCACTTTGGTTTTCTTATTGGCAGATGGCCCTTAATAAAAGGTATAGTAGGTCATGGGTGTGGATATTTAAACTGTTGGTTGTGGGCTGGGCTATTTCTTGGCCTGGAGCGGTGACTTCCTGGAGTCCTGTCATCACTGTTAGGTTCCATGGCAACCAGAGCAGACTCAGAGCCAAACCCCCCCCCTTAAACATGGTGGTTACACACTATGGCTTTTGTACATGTATGAGATTTATGTCTTGATAAATGAAACTATTTGAGTTGCTGGAAGGCAGATATATATATTTTTTACCTTTTTACAGAGCTAGCTGTCTCTCCTTGTTCCCAGTCTTTATGCTAAGCTAACCAGCTCCAGGCTCTAACCTCTTAACATTATATGCAACAATGAAGGTGTTATTTTTCTTTGTGATAGAAAAACTGAATTTTATTTTCTCGTACGAATGAAACTAGTCATTTTGAATGTGTTGTTTTGAGCTTTAGAAAAAGGTGATGTTCATTTTTCCCTTTTTATGACATTATTTTCATGCAAGAAATCAATCAATAAGAACAAGTCTAAACCGTTGAACACTTATTGTCATATATTCCAGATAAAATTGAACACTTTTTTTTATTAACTGGTATTATCGTGAACGATTACTTCTTGCAGTTATTTTTCGAAGCAATTACGCAAAATTGAATTCTCATTATCTTGTAACAGCTTTTAAAGTGTTAGGAATTAGCTCCTATTATTGGTCACATTGTTGCAAACTTGATTATCGTCTCAGTTTTTTTAGACAAAGTAATATATTTGAAATGGTAACCTTCGACTCTGACAGTTGTGATAGAAATTAATGCTTTTTATTTAATAGACGAATCACCGGTTTATTGGAAAAAAACCTGCATATTCAGCTCTGACCCTTCATGTTTCCTCGGTTCCCTGCTCATTCGCTCACTTTTCCTACTTTTTCCTCCAGGTCGTAAACCACATAATTATCCTCTTTAGGGCAAACGGCCTGCAATCATTTAGCCAATCTCCTCTTCCCTCTTACAAAAGCTTCCTCTTTCTCCCCCTACATCGTATATCCGCAGTGGATCTCAATTTTGCTCTCTGCATGACCTATACTTTTTATTTGTTCGGGCTCCTTTGTTCTTCCCCGTCTCCTGCTAACTCCCACTAAGACGTTTAGTCGTCCTTTGCTGTCTGGCAGTGGCTCGTTTCCATGTTTCCCGTTTTGTACTGTTTCTTTGTGAAGTCCTCACAAAACTAGCTCTGTCCTCCACCCCCGCCTCTCCATCTGTGACACGCATTTATGTTGTTTCACCGCATTTACTGAAGCACACACCCTGATTGCTGCCAGGTGAGGCTACGCACACACATGCATTCACGAAAAGCTGCCACACACACACACACACACACACACACACACACACACACACACACACACACACACACACACACACACACACACACACACACACACTTCCTCTGTTGGGCATTGGTGCATGTAGATGCCATTTGTTTGTTGATAGCATTGTCATTGGGCAGCTGTGTGTTCTGCAGCTTGTTTTTCTTTGTTATGTTTTTGTAGGTCAGGCCTGCTGTTGTTGTTTCCAGGTGTTAAATGGCATATTTTTCTCTGAGTAGACATGTTGAAACTGCTACACAGGGGATTACTGCCCGACACCTACCCCACCTGCCAATGGCTTCAAGGCCTCAGGCAGAACACATTATCATATTGCTGTGTGTGTTTGTGCAGATGTGTGTTTGTCTGAGAGATTGCATCAGCTCTTATTTTCTTTCTCCCATACTGTCTCCTCTCCCTCTGGCCCAGTTTCTCCCTGCTGTTTCCCCTCTTCTTCACCGGGGTCACTGGATGAGCTTTGGCCTCCCGTGTGGCTGCGGGGCATAAAGTCCTGTATTTCTGTGTATATCAAAGTCCTGTATTCTGTGTATATCGGGGGGGGGCTTCAGGCTCTGCAGGACGTGGCAGCTTCAGAGACGGGAAGCTGTAATTAGGATGAGTGCAGGCTTAACACTCAGGAGCCTTCTTTTTTTTAAACTGCCACTCTCAGGAGAAATGCTCCCACATTAAAAGACCAAAACTCATAATTACGCGTGGCTGAGAGGATTGTAGTTCCTCTGATGTGAGGAGATTTAACGCTTCATTTATTCACCTTCACTGCTGTGTATTTCCCACTGTAAGCCATCAGCGAAGCTCACGCGTTACACCAGAGTATTAGAGTAGGTCGGGCTGAATATGATTGTGGTCTTTTAATGATTGCTTATTCTATTGCTGTACACAGAAACACAAAGGTAATGTGATGATACGCATGTGAAATGTCAATGAGCGGGTTTGTGAAGTAATGTCGTCATCATAGTGCCTGTCAGTGGAGAGAAACAGAGGTTGTTGTTACAAGGTGATAGACAATGGAGCAGATGTTTTTCTTTTATTATTATTATTATTATTATTATCTCCAAAGTATACAAGTACAAGATTTATTTTTTCTGTTTTATGTGACTATAATTTGTGGGGTTTGGACTATTTATTGGACAATTTAAGTTTTTTTTAATGGCGTCACCTTGGCCACTTGGAAATTGTGAAATTCACTGTTTCATTTTAAACTAAGATGAATAAATCAATGATTCAAATTCAAAAGATGCAGATAGTGCAGATCTTAATAAACAATTTTCCTGGAATTGAATGTAACCAACCAAAAATCTATGTAGCTGTAAACATTGTATTGCAGTGGCGGAGAGCAGTGTGTCCAGCTCCATTTGCTGAGCCGCACACACACCGCCCAAAAAGGACCAAACTGAGGCCACTGTTGTTGCTCACTTGGGGACGGTCGACAGTCAGAGGGTATAACACGGGAACTAAAACATGTTTAGAGGAAGTGTGAGTCACTGCGAGCCTGACAGCTCGTAGAGCAAACAGCCCTCAATTATCACACACCATATTAGGCAGATGGGTGAAGCATTATCGGAGATTAGCCCTGGACAAGACATGAGATACGCACACACGCTACCGATCTCATGATCTCCCGGCGGAGATAATTGTTGGTTGCATCCCTCTTCTCCGCTCATGTTGACTTTAGTCATGAAATGTAATACAAGGCTTGTTTAAAGTTCTAGGAAAACGAGCAAAGAAGCATAATTGTACAGTAAAGTCCATCACATGATTACATTGATGAGGATAAAGCTATATCTAGAAACAAAAAACGGTGACAATGAGAGATTTGAATAGTTTCAGTGTTTCTTAGGGTCAAAAACACTAAACTCACAACTTAAAATGAAAGCGTTTAGTTTATTTAATAAAAGAGCACATGTTCAATGTGAAAAGTGACAGTAGTAATAGATTATTTGCAATTTGGTGATATATATATATTTCAAAAAAGAAAAATAATAAAAAAATAATAATTTATTTTTTATTTTTTTAAACACCTTGAATTTCAGGGGGGGCGCGGGGCTCCGTTGGCGGGGCGCAGCGCCCTTCCAAGACAATGGTAGGGGAAACACTGAGTTTACACTGTTCAGAAGTAAACACAAACGTCAATGCACCTATAGCTGAATTCTAGTTTAATATAACGATTTAAAAGGTTTAAAGTGCCTGTAAATACTCAATTGGAGGGGTGTTAAAGTTAAATGTTACAGATGAATCCACTAATTGTTTCAGCACTGAGTTTTTACCCCCTGGGAAAAGTAGAGTTGAACCGTCCTATTAGTCCCAATCAAGAGCTGAGAACCTTTTAGACTGCAGTTCAGACTGAAGTTAGTTTGATAATCACCATTTATGGAAAACTATTCACTTCCCAAGTCTGCGTCACGTTAGAGTTAAAGTTTGTATTGACCTTTACACCTAACGATTTCCTTTGAGGAAACTAGAAATCATTGTTTGTTCATTTCTTTAAACCTTTCATATTCTTTGGAATCTCTGATGTCTGAGGAGACTGATGTCAGCCATGTTTAGTTCTTGTTGTAATTGCTTTGGATTCAATGAGAATTGGATTCCAGCTAATAAATGGATCTTAATGAAATGACTCCTTTTTAGTTGAGTGGAGAACAAGTGCTGCTCTGCAGGAGGTGTTTCCCCGTGGCGTCTCTGTGAGCACTGATTGAGTTTTTCATGCACACAGCCTCATGTTTTCATGTGCTCTCTTGACTGTAGAGTTGCAAAATCCGGAAGTACTTTATTCATTACTGCAAAAATGATATTACTGGGGATAAATAAACAGATATGGATGTGTACTTACTTAGTCCTGCCTTTCTGCTAATATTATCAGTACTGCTTTAATACTTGAAACAGCTTGTTACTGCATTGAGAAGCCTGCGAAATGTTATTGTACCTTTTTAGTAGGGACGATAAAGTTATACTAATTCTGAATAATGATCACGATAGTCGTTAATAATTTAAAAAGCAGCCATATACAGCTTCTGAATTCAGGCTGTTTGCATATCCTCCGTGGATTAAGCGTTTTTATATTTTCACAATTTTTATAACTAGAATTGCTTTCCAATCATTTAAAAAGGGACACGTAAAGCTCAGTCTTACAATCTGAAAGTGCAATCTTTAACAGTTACTCTCTTTCAACTTACTAAAGAACATCCCTGAGTCCAACATCGCATCCTTTCACAATGTGTGTGGAGGCGTTTGGCGCAGTGGATAGAGCCTGTTGGGATCAGGGGGTCACAGGTTCAAACCCCACTGCAGTCGGCATGTCGTTGTGTCCCTGAGACACTTCACCCCAAATTGCTCCTGTGGGGATTGCCCACAGTATTGAGTATGTACGTCGCTTTGGATAAAAGCGTCTAACATGTAATTTCATTTCATTCACATCACCATTAAAGATGATATTGTGCAGCCGTACTTGACTCCACTAACGTGTACCTCTCCTCTCCTCAGATTCTTATTGAATCCTGGATGCCACATGGTCATGAAGTAATAGAAGCAACCGTTGAGGTGAGTGTTTTAACTTCTGCTTTACTCGTGTTGGTTTTCCCTTTCTCCTCTCAGCTGTTTCACCCTGATCTCTCTCCTTCCTCAGGCCCTCCAGCTGACCTGTAGTAGAGTCCTGGCTGTGGGGCTGTGTTGTTGGTGGGCCAGATCTATGTGAGTGAGAGGTGATGAAGTCCAGTATGAGGCAGTGGCGGAGGCTGGTGCTGGTGGGGATGCTGGCCTGGGTGCTCCTCTTCCTCGGCCTCCTCTCCTACTTCCTGGATGCTCGTGTGAATGAGCCGCTGACCTCTGCTGGCTCTTCACTCTCACAGCACCCTGACACGCGTCGCCTGGCCTCCATACAGGCCCCCAATCAACAGCGACCAAACAGACACGAACTGGCTTCCACCTTAACGACGACCTCCCCCCGAGGTGAGCCGGACCCCGACCCCTCTGCCAGATTCCCGACCCCCGACCCCAGCCTGGAAGTGAGCCGCAGCCCCGACAGCGCCCCCTACCAGGACTACCTGGACCCTCGGAGCCTGGCTGCCTGGTCCTCCTTCGGCACAGAAAACGTGGGTTCTCACTCGGACCCTTCAATCCAGAGTCGGGAGAGGATCGCCCACACAGAGTACCAGAACAGGGGCTACCAAGGTGGTGGTGAGGAGGAGGAGGAAGAAGAGATGGATAATGAAGTTGAAGGAAACAGAAGGCTGGGCGGTGACTCCTCAGATCTGGAGGAGTTTTACTTCTCAAAGTCGGTCTCTTTGGTGCAGCGGCTGTGGAGGGGTCGAGCGTCCGCCGGCATGCTGAGCCCGCGGCTGCAGCGCGCCATGAAGGACTACGTCAGCGCCAACAAGCACCACGTGTCCTACACGGGGCGCCGCAGGGCCACCCAGAGCGCCAAAGAGCTGCTGTGCCAGATGAAGGCGCAGGCCCGGCTCCGGACGGTGGACGGGTCGGAGCCGCCCTTCTCCTCCCTCGGCTGGGCGCGCCTCGTGCCCTCACTCCCTCTGGAGAAACTGCACCAGAACGCCTTCAAGACCTGCGCCGTGGTCACCTCCGCCGGGGCCATCCTGCGCTCAGGACTGGGCAGAGAGATCGGTGAGTAGAGAGACAACATTTTTGGATTAAAGGCGACCGAGCTCTACAGGAGTTCATCTGTTTTTGTAAGGCAGGTTTACATTTCTAAATTCAAATCATTCAAAACGGAATATATATATATATATATTGCCCATAGTTGATTGGTATTCAAATCATCCTTACTTTCAAAGGGTCAGGAGGTGTCATTTCTAACTTAACTATGAAGTGTTTTAATCTATTTTAGTAAGTGTTTTTGTAATACTTAGGCTTATTTCGTTAACAGATGAACTTACCACAGAATACAAACTCGTATTTTACATAGAGTATAGGTCAATCACAACCAAGAAACAAGAAAAAGAACTAAAAGAAAACGAAAAAAAAAAACAAAAAAAACATAAAGATTTTGAGTTTTTAAAAGCATCAGCTTTACATTAAAGATGCATTCTAATGTATTTATACAATGTATTATAGCTCTTTCTTCAAAGTCACAGGTTTAACAAGATTACTTTTGTTCCATGTTAAAATGTTCGCTTTGACTCGTCAATAAATCCAGTTTAAATGAACCAGGTAGTCGTTTATAACACTAGTGATTAAGACACTCTTGTATAGAAACACAGACACGACTCTCACCTGCAAAAGTGTGTGTGTGTGTGTGTGTGTGTGTGTGTGTGTGTGTGTGTGTGTGTGTGTGTGTGTGTGTGTGTGGGTGTGTGTGTTTGAACATATCTTGTTACAACATGTCACTTTTTATTTCAAGAAATGTTCCCGTTATTGCTCAACATTATTTCAAACAGGAAACATTTACACTATAATATTTGTTGAATCTTTTTTTTATAAAACAACAAACCAACTTATTCTTTCTAAAGACAAGAGAACTTTATTTATAACAGCGAAAACAAAAATGAATGTTGATCTTGTGGTGCAGTTACAGTACATTTTGTTATGGTGGCGAGGGACATAACTGATGTGATTTCAACTGCAGTTTCATGTCTAAACAGTAACTCTTATCTCTGTTATGTACCTTTGACGCATGTGTGCACATGGCTAAATGTCATCTGATCCTACCTAAGTATCACAGTGTGTGTGTGTGTGTGTGTGTGTGTGGGAGGTGGTCCCCACGTGCCATTGCTTCCTCCTCCTCCCCTGCATGTATCTTCATCTGTGAAGCTGCGAGAGCACAGTTCCCAATTTGAATTCAAACAAATATCCATAATTTGCATTTGCTCCCATTTTCCATGTGGCCTTTGCTGATTAACTCGTCAAGCTGATCAGGCTTGAGCGTGTGCCGAGTAGGGTATATATCGTTGTTTGAATGTGTGTGGTCTTGGTATGGAGACTTTGGCAGCTTTTCGGTAAGTGTGGAGAGTGAGAACTCAATGACAGATGGCTCAGTAGAAAAAAACAGAACCCCCTCTGGTAACCAATCAGGCTGCTTCACATCACATATAGCTTCCGTGCATTTCCTTGAGGATTCAGCTGCTTAAAGCAAGAACAATCTTTAATATTAATAGCTTTATGCATTTTATTTATATATTTACAAGAAATATCTTCATACTGACACCGTTCTGAAGACGCTAGCTGCCCCAGATAAGGTTGTCCCAGAAAGGGAAGCAGAGGAAACAACTCTCAGTGAAAATGAGATGCAGTGAAGAGATGCAGAGCTACATCGACCTCTGACCCCGTGGTCACAGTGGGATTAACTCGTGGTGCTGTGTCAGAGGAAACATCAGCACTGCAGTCTTTCAAAAGTGACGCCTCAACTCGCTGCAAGAAAATAAAAAGTCTTCCTAAAGTCAGATTATGTATAAAGCTGTAGGTGCAAACAGGTTTCCTGCGCAGTTACAGAAATACAGTTTTGCGTTTAAGTAAAACTCCCAGACCGCGTTGTTGCTTTGGATTATTGATGGATATGTTTTCTGTTTTAGTGCTGGAGGATGAAACACATTTGACTGAGTGCTATTTCTTATTTTTAGAAGCAAAGTAAAGAAAGGCAGGCTTCAGTTGTGGGCAACCAGGCCTCGGACTTAAACTCGGCAGGTGTTTGTAGATCTCTGTCGATGCATCATCATCCCCCATGTTTGTTTTTGGCTTCTATCCAATAATGTGACCCGTTTGCACATGCTCATAACCAACACGAGTGAATGTGTCTCTGCAGCAGCACGCATGCCTCGTTTTGAGCGTTCACACCTTGTGAAAAAGCAATTCTAAACATCACATTGGCCATCAAAAAGTCATTATGAGAATATAGGAAAGTCGTCAAACAGCAAATTGTAATTTACGAGTGTTCAGTCTCTGAGGGGGAAACTCATACATCTTGGTGTCAGGGTATTGGATCAGTGTGTCATCATCATGCTACTTAGTTCTTAAGAAAAGAGATTTTTCTTGACAAGGGGACTTAATGACTTGAGGAATGAGATAAATGTTGGAGCTGATTTATTATTGAACAGTGTTGGAAAAAGCTTGACTTTGTTACATTTATTCTCAGGCTCAGCTATCACAGAAAATCAAACTGCATCGGTTCCCACTCTAGCTCCTTACTTCGCTGTCTTTCTCCGAAAAGCTTGGATAGCGTCAACACTTGCAAGATGCAGCTTTTGATTGTGACACATAGCGAAAGAGGACTGTGACCACATAGCTGTTTCCTGTCCCACCTGCAGGTTGGCTTGACTTTTAGATGCTCAGGTTTCTCAGTGGCTGCAGCACATCCTGAGAGAGCTTTCATTCTCATGTGTGTGATGTGTGACTGCCATCATGTGGCGGCCTGAACAGACTGCACCCCCTGTATAATGTGGGAGGGAAATTAAAAGCCATTTTCTGCAGGGGTTTCCAAACTTTTTTCACCGAGGGCCGCATACAGAAAAATATACAAAGGGGTATATTGCCTCATAAGTTCAGTTATAAGTTAGCAAAATCAATCAAATGTAGTTAAATTGTGCTTGTGAGTGTTGGCAGCTCATTCCTTAAAACAGAAGCCTCAGATTGATTATAATAAGGAGAAATAGGAAGGGTGTATTTCAAGCTTGTTATGTAAATAAGTAATTGGGCTTTTTTATTTTTTCAACTAGGATATGTTAGAAAATGTTTCCAACTTGAATTGACTGAATTTAACACATGAATACTACTGTGTAATATATGTTTACATTTATAGTTAAGAAGTACAAAATAAGATAAGCACAAGTTTCATTTGTCGGCCATATTCCATCATTACATTACATGTCACTTGTTAGATGCTTTTATCCAAAGTAACTTACATACTCAATACTGTGGGCAATCCCCACAGGAGCAATTTGGGGTGAAGTGTCTCCAGGGACACAACGACATGCTGACTGCAGTGGGGTTTGAACCTGTGACCCCCTGATCTGAACACCAACGTACAACCCACTGCACCACACGCCACCCATTATACTTTTTGAAATAGCTGAGGGCCGATTCAAAATGGTCCACGGGCCACATTTGGCCCCTGGGCCGTAGTTTGGACACCCCTGATTTACAGCATTATTCAATGAAATGCCCTGTAGCACACATTGTGCTTGTGAAGTGCTTTAGTGTTTACTGTTGTTGACAGCCTCATCCCACTATCTCACATTTTTAATATAGTTTTCTGCAAATGTAAGCTCTTTTTTTTTACTAATTTGCGTTGTTGCATCTGTAGCTGTGATTGATCTCAATGTGTGATGTGGTGCCCCCCTGTGGTGGTATTTTTAGAAAGCACTGTGGTCGAATTGCCTGAACATCTGACCTGATGCTATTTAGATATGAAGGTCTAAAGCAACATTCAACATCAAAATAATTTCCTTTATAAATGCATAATATCTTCGAATGGCATTTAATTTAAACCAAATATATATTTTTTTAAACAGACAATTTTATGTTTTATCACAAAGGTACGGTGTCAAAAAATGAATCTACACCACTACTTATTACTACGTTTGCAATCCTGTTACCTCGTAACCATAACCACGTCTAGACTTAGTCACATAAGTAATGTTAATACATCATGTAACATACTTTTTATTGAATCTAATCCTGAACCATGATATTTTCCCTAACCCAACAAAGTAGTTGTGTTTCCTCAATATTACCATCTATTCCTATTTTCACAACATGCTTAAAACTCCTACCATTTCACAGCATTGAGTCATGCAGTATATATCGCTTTGGAATTTATTGGCAAGCTACCTCTTCTGGGTTTTATTTTTCAGGCTTAGCAGTTGGTATCCAAACTTTAAAACATAAACAGACACCTAGCTTTGAAGCAGCCACACAGGGTCAGTTACAGTGTCAGCTGTACAGAATATTTTAAAATCAACATAACTATTTTTGAGTTTACAAAGCCACACGTCACATTTAACAAGTCTGAAGCAGCCAGAATAGAGTAAGTTGATCTTAAACTGTAAAACTCATTCATCATGAGAACAGAAGAATATAACATGTCAGACATTTAAGACTCGACAAGCGTCACCTGAGGAGCCGTGGGCGTTACTCTCGTAGACACTGATAAATGAACCCTTTAGCTTTTAAATTAATCAAACTTGTCATGACAGAGTATGAGGAATGGTGTTGTAATACTACTTCACTGTATGTGTCACAAGATGTATACTTTATGGCGGTTACTGATGATACAAAGCACCAAACGTACTTTAAAGGGGTACTATTATGCTTTTTTAGGGGGGTTTCACTTCCCTCTAGTGTGTTATATAGGTTTGTGTGCATTTACATGGTCTGCAAAGGCTAACATTCAATTATTTTTAAAAAAAGAAGAGAAGCCCCGGACAATACCAACTAAAATATTTTTCTTTTAAACTGATGATAATACAATTTAAAATAATCATAATTGTTAAAATAAATATATAATGTACATCTACAATATAACAAAAATGCAAATATAAATATTTCAACAACAAAAAAAGAAATTTGTCAAAAAAAAAATAGAAATGATAAACGGATACATAAAACTTTAGATAATAAATTCGCTTTTTATTCACTTTTTTGTTCTTATACACAAAGTTAGCTTTAATCTTTAGATTGTGTGAAACAGTTGTAATGTGAGTCAGTAAACCTTGCCTCAGATGATTTGACAACAAACGACCCCTGCTTAAAGCAAATCCATCGGTGTGACGGGCCGGCCTGTGGGGAGCTGACGTGTTTACAGGATTTTACTGGAGTGTGAGGACAAACTCAATGTCAAGCTAGTGGTCACGGTTCCAGTGTTTTGAAGTTGTTGTTGTTGTTGTTGTTGTGAATGCCAATCAGTGTTGTTCAAGTCGAGTGACCGCGGTGATGAAGTAGCATTAGATCAAAATCTGGCGGATCATCCATTCTGGTGTCGGACCAAGACTGTGGCTCTGATGGATCGATCGACAGACGTCACAAGTTTATAATTATCTCTCCAACCATCCATCACACAGTGTTTTTCATGATGCTGAAGTGTGAAGGACACTACTGTATATGAACACACATGTGGGCAGAATTAGGCCTGATCTTTAATGTTTTTCTTCATATTGGTTAGTGGCTCTTCAGTTACAGGATCCAACCACTAGAGAGCACTTTGGTTACATCTGTGAGCCGGACATAAATCCAGTCAAAGTGGTTGTAATTCACGTCACTGCATGTCGTCAAAGAGGCACCTCAGAGATGTATCTAATCTCAGGACATAAGACTGTTAAACACCTGAACTTTTGAAACAACATCCATAACATTCATCTGACTGCAACTTACAAATGATTTTTCTAATATATCATATTCCAATCACTTGTATATAGACTCTTATTGCACTATTTCTCAATTTTCCTATTTCTCTTTTTGTATTTACTTGCACTATTTTTTTTCTGTTTTTCTGTTTTATTCTGTTGCACTGTTGGAGGAGCCTGTGACATAAGATTGTCATCGTCATAGCTACACTGTAGCTATGTTCGTATGACTAATACAAGCCTTGAACCTAATTGCAAAAAGCATTGATCTGACCACAAAAATCCATGTGTGCACGTGAAAGCATTCATGTGTAAATTACTTTTCATGTTGATGTAGTTTCAGTGTGGCTTAAAACACATTTTCTGTACAAGGCTTCCTACACAGCATCCGAGGAGGAGGAGGAGGAAGAGGAAAAAAGATAAGCGTGTATGGAAAATATTGGTGTTTCACTATTTCTCCTATTCTGATTTCTAAATATAATTCTGAATTCCTAAAATATTACATATATATGTATACAGTTGTGAAGAAAGAAATAAGAATGACATTGTACTGTGATATGCATGCAATGTTGTCCATTGAACCATTTATTTATTTATTCACAAGATTAACTAACAATACCAGTACTGTTCAGTTAAAAGCCTGACTCTTGCCCACACCTTTAACATCATGCATTATATTATTGTTTATCACGTGAACAAAATCCTGTTCATTTTAATATTGTGAATCCCACACAGGACTCTTCTATTTGTGAATAAAGCTACCTCTCCTATTATCTGCATAGCCCTGGACATTACATCTCAGTTTTTGTCATATTACACTCTACTTATACATTTTTTATATTTATATTTGATGTAAATATTTCTTGTAATAGTAGTCATCATTTTTAAAATAGTTTTTGTAATAGTTCTAATTTTGGTCCTTTTCTTACATTTGATCTTTTACTGGGTTTATTTATACACCATATACACCAGAGCAAATGCCTTGTACGTGCAAACCTACATGGTAATAAACCTGATTCTTATTCTGATGAGACATGATGGTTACATGTGAAATGGGACACCCTGATAAGCAATAGCAAACTTGAGAATACCGAGACATTAAACATAAAGTATTTACAATATAAATTATGAATACATCTACAATTGGACAGGGTTCATGTATTATACAGAAACATAACAAGTCAAAATCAAACCCAACACTAACACAAAAAACTTTAGTATTCTCACACTAACGACTACATTCTTAATTGATTTGTACTCTATGATCTAACTGGCCTTAATCTTCTGCCAGCTATTTGTCAAAATGAAATCATATTTATGGTCCAAATGTAACTTACATGTTGACAGTTTGACTTAAAACCATTTATTTACATAACAATCTAGCTATAGATTGTAGACTTGGAGAAGGCGTATGACCGGGTTCCCAGGGAGTCACTGTGGGAGGTGCTGCGGGAGTATGGGGTGAGGGGGTCTCTACTCAGGGCCATCCAATCTCTGTACTCCCAAAGCGAGAGCTGTGTCCGGGTCCTCGGCAGTAAGTCGGACCCATTTCAGGTGAGGGTTGGCCTCCGCCAGGGCTGCGCTTTGTCACCAATCCTGTTTGTAATATACATGGATCGGATTTCGAGGCGTAGTCGTGGGGGAGGGGGTCTGCAGTTCGGTGGACTAAGGATTGCACCACTGCTTTTTGCAGATGATGTGGTTCTAATGGCTTCATCGGTCTGCGACCTTCAGCACTCACTGGATCGGTTCGCAACCGAGTGTGAAGCGGCTGGGATGAGGATCAGCACCTCCAAATCTGAGGCCATGGTTCTCAGCAGGAAACCGATGGACTGTCCACTCCAAGTAGGGAATGAGTCCTTACCCCAAGTGAAGGAGTTCAAGTATCTCGGGGTCTTGTTCTCGAGTGAGGGAACAATAGAGCGTGAGATGGGTCGGAGAATCGGAGCAGCGGGAGCAGTACTGCAGTCGCTTTACCGCACCGTTGTGACGAAAAGGGAGCTGAGCCAGAAGGCAAAGCTCTCTGTCTACCGCGCCATTTTCGTTCCTACCCTCACCTATGGTCATGAAGGATGGGTCATGACCGAAAGAACGAGATCGCGGGTAGAAGCGGCCGAGATGGGTTTTCTCCGCAGGGTGGCTGGTGTCTCCCTTAGGGATAAGGTGAGAAGTTCGGTCATCCGGGAGGGACTCGGAGTTGAACCGCTCCTCCTTCGCGTCGAAAGGAGCCAGTTGAGGTGGTTCGGGCACCTAGTTAGGATGCCACCTGGGCGCCTCCCTACGGAGGTGTTCCAGGCACGTCCAGCTGGAAAGAGACCAAGGGGTAGACCTAGGACCAGGTGGAGGGATTAGATCTCTTCGCTGGCCTGGGAGCGCCTTGGGATCCCCCAGTCAGAGCTGGTTGATGTGGCCAGGGAAAAGAAAGTTTGGTGCTCTCTGCTGGAACTGCTACCTCCGCGATCCGACCACGGATAAGCGGGAGAAGATGGATGGATGGATGGATGTAACTTACATGTTGACAGTTTGACTTAAAACCATTTATTTACATTACAATCTAGCTATTAATACTTAGATGTTGAGTTTGGTCTAAAAATTGAAATGCAAAAAGCGTAGGATCCCTATCTGTATCATTTCCTTTCACAAGTTGTCTTTACAATATAAGACAAAGCAGCAGCAGCGGTGACTACATTAAGACCTTGACAAACTCATGCTGATTCAGAACGACTTTTCAATTCATGTTGAGGTATCTTTGTTCCCACCTTTATTTGTCCTTGTTTGCATTTTGGATTTACTGCAGGTGTGTCAAACCTCAATAAACACCAAACCCATTTGGCAGGATTAGAGCAGTAATGGAAGGGTAAAAGGATAATCTTTGCATCATGATAACATATAAATAGCACCCAGCTTAAGTGTTCATGTGCGTATTTACGAGCTACACGCCAAGGTCAGTCCATCACCTGCTTCATGGTCTGTGGTCTGTCCTGTGTTTCAGATAATCATGACGCAGTGTTACGGTTCAATGCTGCGCCGACAGAGGGATACGAGCGAGACGTGGGGAATAAAACCACCATCCGCATCATCAACTCACAGGTAGGGAGAGAGCCTGGCCTTGTGTGGCACAAATGATGATTTATTAATGGATGAGAGCTGTGTCATTCACTGAAGCACATGTTAAAGATGTGGTAAATGTTTTATGGATTTTTATGCAGCCTTTTTTTATTTATTTATGTCTTTTTGCCATTCGGTCGTTTTGCATTTCTCAAACAACATTTCTGAATATGATTTGAATGCTGCTTTTAATTACACAATTATTACAGTTTTATTTGGATATTTTTATTTGAGGAGAGTTTATATTTGTTTTAAACTTCATGGTTCTTGAAGTACAATTTTTAAAAAAAACAAAAAAAACAAACAAAAAAAAAACAAAACATCAGCATTAAATGAACATACTTCAAATATAAGGTTTCAGCTCATCTCGGAGACATTGTTTTGAGGACCTTAAGTCACGACTCTCCAAAGTAAATGTTCTCGTGCGACAGTCTGTCAGCCTAAAGGTAAACTGGCACTATGTTGTTAAATTAATTCTGTTAAAGCTGCTATAATCCATACTTTTATATTTACTATGGGAGAAATTACTATTTTTCGTTTGAAAGGTGTCCACAGACATTTTTATCACCGTTGGACACTTCCTTGTTTCCCTCTGGAAACAGGAAAACAGCCGACTTGGCAAGCTTGACATTTAAAAAGCCTGGCGACGATGTCTAGACACAATGCATGTTTTTACCGTTTAGTTGTGTACAGATTCAACTAACGTGGAGGTTTAGAGGCTGCTTGTGTTATCTTTTGACAAAGCCAAGCTAGCTCTTTCAACTTGTCACAGGTCATTATGCTAAACTAAGCTAATGCTGTTAACAAGCATATTTCCAATAAATGTTGTTGTTCTTGTTACCTGCGTGTTTTTATTTTTACAACAATGGATATTTCCCTCTACAGATTTTGGCCAATCCCAGGCATCGTTTCAACTCGAGCTCCATTTACAAGAATGTGACTCTGGTAGCCTGGGATCCTGCACCTTACACCGTCAACTTACACCAGGTATGTTTCTTTATCCCAAAGGAGCCTCTTTCAATCGATCAATCAATCAATCAATTTCAATACATTTGAAATATCACACATTTGTCTGAGGGGGCTTTACAAGTGGGTACAGCATTTGATTTAGGTTTTTGTGAATGTTAATGGTCAGCAAAGGCTAAAATCCCAAAGTTCCCCCGCACACTCCCACCCCCCCCAAGACATCTCTAAGCGGTAGACCAATCATAACAGAGCCGGCCAGCTAACCAATCAGAGCAGACTGGGCTCTGGTTTCAGACAGAGGGTGAAAAGAGGTGCTGCAGCACAGGCAGTATGAGAGAAATAAAGAGCTTTTTGAACATTAAAGCATGGAGACATGTCACCGTAGAGGCAATACATACATATTCAGACCTGAAAATGAGCAGAATTAATCTGCCTGTCAACATTAAAGACAGTAGGGCAGATTCAACGGAAGACATGTTAAGGCGACACCAATTATTTTAACAATAGCCGTACAGTACGTGTAGAAAGGACCATGCATAGTGTCTCTCTTCCCCAGAGGGAACTAAGACAGTCATATCATCCCCATGAAACCTTCAGCGGTGCTAATAAAACCTGCANCTGTAAGTCTTCACAAGGTTTTCACACACTGTTGCTGGTATTTTGGCCCAAGCGACAGCCCCAAAACATCACTGCTCTAGAGGAGATCTGCATGGAGGAATGGGCCAAAATACCAGCAACAGTGTGTGAAAACCTTGTGAAGACTTACAGAAAACGTTTGACCTCTGTCATTGCCAACAAAGGGTATATAACAAAGTATTGAGATGAACTTTTGTTATTGATCAAATACTTATTTTCCACCATAATTTGCAAATAAATTCTTTAAAAATCAGACAATGTGATTTTCTGGATTTTTTTTTTTCTCATTTTGTCTCTCATAGTTGAGGTATACCTAGGATGAAAATTACAGGCCTCTCTCATCTTTTTAAGTGGGAGAACTTGCACAATTGGTGGATGACTAAATACTTTTTTTCCTCACTGTATGTGCTGCAACTATGTACACACAATGAGCCTTGATATCTATAATAGTGAAATTACACCTGGACACATTAAAATACATCTGGACAAGGTCTCTGCACCACCAATTAACCCCTCTCCTTCTACCAGAGCAGCATGTGAAGTGTTCATGCGCCTTGTAATTACCAGAGCAGAGGACGTGTTTCATTTAAAAACCAGCACTTCCGCAACAGCCCTTGAGAAAAGACAAGCATCTGACTCATTCACAGTGACAAGAGAGAGTCGTCGGCCATCTAACATCCCCTGGCTGTCCGTTACCTAAACAGCAGGCTTAAAAAGGGTTGAATCTAACAACACTGTACTTGAAAAACACTTCACGACTCACAGTCATGCATTAACCTCCACTTTAAGAAGAAAGGACATCCGACAGAAAACTTGGAGCGAGGGTGAGTTGAACCATCCAAGCACATCCTATTCTGATAAATCACACAGAGCAGCGGTTCTTGATGACAGGCTTTCACGGTGCACAGAGCACTCTCCAATACAGCCTGCCAACAGCAAGGTCCTATATAGGAAATGTAGCTCTACACCTCATATTATGGCCTATAAATACAGCTGGGAGTTCCGACACCCACAGCGAGCGGGCGTTTGACGTGAGAAAGAAGCGAAAGTTCACTTAAAGCTCATTTCACTGTCTGTTCTTCTTCTAGTGGAGGCTGAACGGTCATAACAATGCTTGTACCATCATACTCAATGAACACTTGAAAACTTACAGCGAGCCTATTTCCATTTGTGTCTGAACTTGTTACGAGTTCATTGGTGTACAAATGTAGGGCTGAAACTAACGTTGTATTTTCATTATCAAGCAATCTAGCTAACGTTTTCTAGATTAATCGTTTAAATATTGGAAATATCCATCCCTGTTTCTCAAAGTCAAAAAGGATGTCTTGTTTTGTCAGTGCAAAACCCAAAGATATTCAGTTTATAAGGATATCATCAGATAAAAAGCAGAATAAATCTTTATTTGAGGGTCTGAAAACCTCATGTCTGCCATTCTTGCATACAAAATTAATTAAACGATAAATGTATTATCAATATACCTTACTTATTACGAAACAATCGTTGCAGCAATGTTTAAAATGACAACGGCTGCTCACGAGCCTCGGAAAGTTGCTGTTACTTTAAGAACTCAGAACAACAGTTCCCTGGTCCAGACACAAAATAAGGGCCGATCTTATTAACAGGTTAAACAATGCTGGAAAAAAAAAAAAAAAGCTGACGGGATTTGTCCATATCAGAGCTTCACACACTGGCTGCTGCATTTGTAAAGCAAATCATGTTTGACTGGCCAGACAACAACCCTACTAATCTAGAGCTCGACAGCCATTTCCAGGCAGCTTAACCTCCCTATAATCTGCCTGAACTCGGGACACATACTTCTAAACACAGACTAAGATTAGCAGCCTATCAGAGAATTATACCACAACTATGAAAGCGACGCCAAAATATAAGCTGCTCATGTCGCTGCTAAAGAAGACTCAGCATAAGGGAATAAGAGCACCATACATCAAACGCAGATGGCCTTAACTACTCCTCTCAGGAAGTTTACAATCGCGTGGAGACCGCTAATAGCCCTGGACGTCCGTGTGTTTCTCACGCAGCGCCGTGTGCTCTCACTCGGCCAGGAGTGAGGGGCACAGCTGGTCCTGATGACTGCAGCACGCCTGCCTTTGAAGGCTGGGCTCAGATAACTGCCGCGCTGGTCCGTTAGCACTCATCTGAAATTACACCTCCACCTTCCCAGAGTGCCCTGCCCATGCAATCCTCTCACTCCTCTGTACTTTATCTCCACATACGCAGACCCCGAACAATTTAAATATGAAACTCGAGCTTTGACCCACAGTCACAATATGGGAGTTTTAAGAGTAACTAAAAAAGAAGATACAGTGTTGACCTAAACGTTTTATGAGCAGCTGTGATATTAAGCAATGAAGTTTAATTGATATAGTTAGATGAGAAAACCAACCATTTATTATATGCTAAGCATCTCCGAACTACATATTTGGTGGTGACGAAGAACAGGGCGAACAGATCCGTTACATTGATCCAGCGACCAGAAACAAAATATTAATTTTGCTCTGAATGTGTAAACAATGCTTTTTGCTAACAAGGTCAACATAACAGCTTAAAAAACAGATTATGTGTCAATAATGTGTTTTCTCCAAGTTTCCATAATTTGGTTTGATCAAGACACATAAAACTTTCCAAACATTCTTCTGACAAGGGATTTTATCCAATGGTTAAAGGATTCTTGCGATGATTAAAAAGATGTCTGACTGCCGCTGATGAGATGATTCGTTACACATCTGTCTTTCAGAGACAGAAAGTCTGCATCCCTTCCGAGAGCGCATGGTAAATAAATGTGTCCTTGAAGCATAACTCCCGTTTTTTCCGTCTGGCAATCTGTTTTCTATTTTTCCCATCGATGCTATAAGGTCAATCAGTCACACACTGAACCGCTCAACGCTGAAACATTGTGAGAAAATACTTCCATTTTAAACTTTCAATGTTTTTTTCTTTGTTAAGTATGTATGTAACTTATGTGAACACAATTATAAAGTTAAAACACCTCACTGAGATTTATATTATGCTTCACCTGATTAAAAATGTATCCTCCCTGCACACACGTTTACATAAATAGCTCCCCTTTCAGATTTTCTGCGGTGCGATGCTAATCAGAGCAGTCAATCTCTGACTAACTAGTTGCCTCCGTTACTGGGTCATCACTGACAGCAATTATGCATTTCATCAATTGGTATTTTTAGAACAGCAGCACTTCCTCTGCCACTTTGTAGCTTGATAAAAATCACCTCCCAAAAAGGTATTTTCAAGCCACTAATTGTTGGGTTAACAACGAAGAGTCTTGCAGTGTTTTCATACAGGTCATAGTCATATACTGCTCATCATTGCTGTTATTTTCCCTTGTTTACGCCTCTCAGCTGGCAGCATCTGTACCGCTTTGTACATCAATATTACAAGGTTACGGGGGTATGGATTCACTGAGAATCAATCATAAACTAAGACTGCATAACATATATATTTGAATTGTTATTGCCATAACAATAAACACATTGCAGGGATTTCCTTCATTTAAAGTAAGGAGAATATCAGGAGAAAACTGCACGTCGAAATGTTACCATCTATGCGTTGTTATTTGTGTTCAGTCAATGTATAATTATAAAGAAATCTTTTACTTTCATTCTTTTATTCAACAAGAAATATGTTTTATTTAAGCAGTACACTGAATGCAGCACAGGGTACATTTGGTTTTGAATCAAGATTGTTATCGTTATTGAATAATCCAACGCATATTTTTCTTATATCGTGCAGTCCTTCCATGAACATCTCCTCTCAGTGCAGTCTAGGGTATGTTCTTTTGTACATTATGTTTAATGTATGTGCACGTTTCTTCAGGGGAAATGGATGTTTCTTTCCATCATGTCATTTTTATTGTAGTGGGAGCGGCTATTTTTCATTGGTTAAGCAGTGGAGCCTGGTTGGTGTTCACGTGGATATGTCTGGTGATGAACACCTTGTAGGTTGGAATAAATTAGCTTTTAACTTGCAAGGTGCAAACAACATTTCATTTTTGTTTTTCTGGACAATACTGAAAACTCAAGCTGCCGACGACACTGCGAGCAACTCTAGGTGTCCAGAATGTATGGATTTGGTAGACCAATGTGACAAAATAATGTCTCTGTGTGGGAAACGGCTGCCTGGTCTGATGTTTCGCCATTGAATTATAAAAGTGGCATATTGTGAGTGCACACAAAGAAAGCAGCTCACACACCTGTACTCTGTCGGCACACAGAGGGAGGCCGCCTTGTTAGAGACAATAAATATCCAGCTGCAGAGACAAGGAGGTGCGAGCCAGTGTGTTACACATAGTTCTCTATAAAAACAGTGATGCAGATGCTCTGAGGAACTTCACACATTTATAGTGGATA